CATACACACTGCTAAGATTATGTCTCATCAAAATGCCCAGCTGACTAGCAAGGTCAGTACAAACCAGGAGTGAATAGCAGGGGTTATATAGGAACTGTGTCATGAGTACTGCGTCAGAGCTGTACATTACACTCTGCACTATCTGAGATTGTCTCACTAGTTAAGTATTTTTACTGATGGAAACATATTTATGCTAATTTTATATATTTTTACTCGTACTTGAAAATGACCTCAGAGAGGTCGAAATGTCCTGATTTGTTTTTGTTAGTTTCTATTGCAAAATCGATCTCAAAGAAATTACTCATCATCAATTCGTGTATTAATCAAAATTTTCCATGTGCTGATATACTTCTGACTATGATCTAGCTTAAGTTACAGGCTCACCTCAATCAATCCTTGGCTCCTTTGATTTCTTGTGGTAGTAAAATTACACTAGCTGCATATTCACAGGAGTGCTGTCTTGTAGAACATCCCAACCCTTTCTGTACAAACATGCTGCCATTACACATTCCAAAGACTGTTAAGCTGCTAGTAACATTATTTACAGACACTGAAGAAGATTGTTTCCAGCAAAGCGGGAGAAATTTGAAGGAGTTGATCTTTCCCTACACAAATACGGCATATGAAGACACAATGAGATTTTCCCACTCTCAAAGAAACGGTCGAGTTCTTAATTTTTGATGTGAATGGGTGCAAAACTTGATATGTTTATTCAGCATGGACCAATCAAATTGAACTCCCCGAATTATCTCAAATGATTCAAGATCAGATTTCAAGTTGCATTGTCATGAAATGGTGAAACAGTTTTTACCCACTTACTGGTCTTCACTAGTTTCAACACCCAAAACAGTTTACGGGTAAATTTTGGAGTGGACACTACCTAGACGAAAATGCCAAGGAGTTCTTTGGGGCACATTACAGGAAATTTGAAGCATATTGTACAGTACATAGGAGCAGACACCACAGTTTTGTGGCATGGCATGGCATATCTTGGAGTTTTTCGTCGCATGCAATGTAAACACTACAAGGCCTTTAGCGTAAGCTGAAATTGAAAAAGATTGCAACCCGTGAGAGAATATGCTTGTTGAAATTAATATTTTGATCCAAAAGGACGATTCTGTTATGTTTTAGTTCTTACATTTAGCATACTTTTATTTTTTATTTTATTTTAATGTATTTTATTAATTTTCAAACGCATTATAAATAGGAAAGTAAACAAAATCAGAAGAGGAAAATAGTAATATTACAGCACAATACTAACTTACAGTACAATATCATAATTACGACTACTTGCATTGTTTAGTTTAGGTAGCTAAAACAATACAGTTTGTTAATGTCCAGTTTTTTTCCTTTTAAGTTTCATACAAAAGGCAGCTCTACTAGCACTGCACTTTCTACATGTGTACAGTACCGTAAGCTTATATTACGAACAAAAAAACAAAAAAACATGCACACTGTTTACGTAGTTAACAAAACATGGAAAACACGTCACCAATGCATATTAAATAAGATGTTGAAAGGATTTTTGGAAAGCAATAAAAGAGTTGTTTTTAAATGCTGTTTCTTTTTGTATATTTAATTTTTCTTTTAGAAGTATGAGGAAACTGTCAAAAGAGAGCTTTTTGTCGTGTAGGCAGCTGCAGTGTATAGAAAATCGCGCAATTGGAAGCACATAGTTTAAAGGGTATCTGTGTTCTGTTTTGTTGAAACTTTTATGGTATGAGGTGTCATGCCCATCAGCAAGATTATGGCAAGTAGCAAGGCCTGACAAATGTCATGTCCGAATTTTACGTACTTGTAAAATGAATTTAGACAGAATTACAACGATA